TAATTTAATTATTCTTATTTGCCCTAAACTTCCCTAAATAACAAATCTTTCATTTAATTTTTTTAAAAATTAAATTCAATAGTTCTAATTCGTAACCCTTTTAGTTCAACTCAACGACACATATATAAATACCCGCGTGCGGACATACCTTGTATTTTTATAATTATGCATCAAGCTCTCTGAGCACTGGTTCGTGATAGGATAAAGTACACAAAGGGGCGTGGCTCTGCCACCATATTTAAGTTTAACCCTTTCACTGTTGCCTTCCCATTTTTCCATGGTAACGGAATAAGGGGACGAAAGTATATATATATATGAAGTTAAAGGGACAAGAAAAATTCTTCGCACTGATTTGACATACATTGGTCATATTTTTTAATTTAACCTAAATTCTAATATGGCCTAATTTAGGTCTTATTTTTATATAACCTAATATTTCTATGGCCTCTAATTCCTATTGGTCCTGTGGTTTTTATAAAACCTATAATTCTTCTATGGTCTTATTCGTCTTGGGCCAAGAACGAATTAGGTTAAAAAAAAATTAGGCCACATATAAGAATTAGGTTGTATTAAGATTAGGTCAAAAACGTAATAAAAAAACGTAACGTTAAAAGAATATTAGGCCACATATAGGAATTAGGACGTATTAAGATTAGGCCAAAAACGAATTAGGTTACAGAAATATTAGGCCACATATATAGGAATTAGGCTATATGAAGATTAGGTCAAAAATATATTAGGTTAAAAAATATTAGGCCACGTATAGGAATTAGGCCGTATTAAGATTAGGTCAAAAACGTATTAGGTTTAAAAAAATATTAGGCCCCATATAAAGGAATTAGACCTATTAAGATTGGATTAAAAAACGAATTAGATATTAATATTTTGCTATTATTTTGTAACTAATTCGAAAATTTAAAAAATCACTAATTCAATTATTTTATATAGTGAATTTTTTTTTTTTACTAATACAGATTAAAAAAGAAATATCCGATTTTGTACTTCCACCATTCAACTTTTCAATACTATAAAGAATAGAAGAATAAATTTTCCAATGATATTGGAAATTATGCCCTCTTTTAAAACGTGATCAACAATAAATTGGCGAATATATAAATTTGAAAAAAAAGTGATGAGTTAATTTGAAATGCAACATATGTTTCTCTTTTTTTTGGGTGAAAATCGTTAACAGCGTGCAGAATACAATAGAATGAGAAATGGAAAATTATGTGAAGCCAAAGGCGCCATGCCGAGGCACGAAGTTGCGTATAAAATGCCGTGTCTCTCTTTTACTTTTTTTTTTTGTTAAGTGTGCGACGTGGGCGATTTTATGTTATACCGACAATGGCACAAAGAGATCTTTTTTTTTTTTTGCTCACGTGACTGACACCTGTCCAAAGTGTGAAGCGTGTGCCGCTGATATACGCAACTGTGTGTCTACTGCTTTATTAGTTGCGAGAGATAAAATGATAAATACACGCACGCACGCGTTGAAAAACAGGACGTTGCACGTTAACGGAAAAGCTGTATTTGTATCTCAATAAATGGCACGAAGAATAAAAGATTTTTAGGATATATATTTTTAAGATATAACAGCTCTTTGCCAAACAATGATCCATTATTATATTTCACTTTTATATCCTACAAAATGAGATTAACGCCTCTATGTTCATTATTATATATGATACAGATGTTATTTTGTCATTGAATTTATTTTAAAATCCGCATATTTATCGACGATTTTTTTCCTATTCAGTCGGTAATGTAAAATTTTAACTAAAAATTTGTAATTTTCGATAATTAATAGTTGTGGCATTTAGTTTTGACCTAAAATTGATGAATGGTATCAAAAAATTTTAAAAATGACTCATAATTTTCGAAAAACTTGTCGTAAGATGTGAAATTTTGAATGAGATAATTACAGTTATTTTTAATAATCATATAAGAAAGAAGATAATTGTGAATTTGAATTTTTAATACGGGATAACTAGAATTATGATATATGAATATTGAAAGGAAGATGGTAAAAAACACAAATTTCGAATTATTAGAATTATCCGGAAAAAGAAGTATAATTAGAATTTCAAACGGAATAATTATTATCATATAATCAAAAATAAATAATCTATTAGAATAAAAATAAAAGTAGAAATAGAATAATTGAATAGTAATTCAATTAATGAATCAAGTAGAATTAGAAGTATCATTGAAATTATCAAAAAGTGGTGGGAGATATAATTAATTTCTAATCCGAGACGTTTAGAATAAATAAAATTGAAATTATCCGGAAGAATTTAAAGAATTCAATTTCGCGATTCAGAGATTTAGAATCATCATTATGGATTATCAGGAAGATTCTGAAACATTGATTTTTATGTATGCGGGAGAATAATTATCTTTGAAATTTTCAGGAAAAAGAAGAGGAATTCGAATTTCGATAAGGAGAATTGTAATTGTATAATTATTAAGTAGAAGGAGAAATTCGAATTTCGAATAGAAGAATTAGACTTATATATCATTGCAATTATTAAGGAAAATAGCAAAGGAATTTAAATTTTTAATGACTGAATTAAAATTATATCATCAGAATTCGAAAATGGAGAATTAGAATTATCATTTGGAATTGTAATTATTAGGAATGAGGAGAAATTTAAATTTCGAATAGGAGAATTAGAAGAGTATTTTTAATTAACAGGATAAAGGAAAAATGCGAATTTGAAAAAGGAATAGTTGAATTATATGATTGGAATTATCACTCTCTTAATTTGAATCAGTGAAATTTCACTGGTGAAATAGCTAGAAGTCGGTTACTGAATCATTTAGTGAAATTTTCACGGAAAATCAGTCATATATAACTGATTTCCAGTGAAAATTTTACTAAATAAATCAGTCAATCTGTTTTACCCATTACCGATAATACAGATTGACTGAATCATTTAGTGAAATTTTTACTGGAAATCAGTGATATATGACTGATTTTCAGTGAAAATTTCACTAAATGATTCAGTAACCGACTTCTAGCTATTTCACCAGTGAAATTTCACTGATTCATAGGGAAATGCGAAATAAGGATTTCGAATTTCGAATAGAAGAATTAGAATTATATATCATTGTAATTATTAAGGAAAAGCAAAGGAATATTTAAATTTTGAATGAGTGCATTAAAATTATATCATTGGAATTCAAATTTCGAAAATGGAGAATTAGAATTATCATTTGGAATTGTAATTATTAAGCGCAGAAGGAGAAATTTAAAATTTGAATAGGAGAATTAGAACAGTAATTATAATTAACAGGATGAATGAAAAATGCGAATAGAAATCATCAATACCTCTTTTATTTTTAAATTAAATATTGTCTTATATGTCCAATATAAAAAATAGTTGTAAATTATTTGAATTTTAATTATCAAAGAGAAGAGAATAATTACTCTTCCTTTTTTCGGGGAGAATTCTCAAAAAAGAAATGAGAAACGAGCTAATAAATTACGCAAATTAAAGTAAAGGACAAGAGATTTCCTGGTAGTAGAGAAGAGCGTCGTCAGCGACAAGAGATAGCCACCCTCGATATATTTATTTTTTTTAAAGCGAAACTCGTTCTTATACTAAGTGCCGGTGCCAGTTGAAAGTACGCGAAAGAGAGAAAGAGAAGAACTTTTTTCTCCCTTTTACTCTGTCGCGCAAGCTTAAGCCAGAGGCGCTGCAAGAATTAATTATTTAGGGGACAGAAATGGCGCTGTTCTTCTGACCCCCCTTCTCATCCCACTCCCTTCTTACTCTTTCTCCTCCTTCTTTCTCTCTCGATTTTCCTTTTTCTTTTCTTTTTGCATCGCGCGTTCGTTTTCTTTTTCGCCCCCGCGCGCAAGAATATAAGCTCCGTATAGCTTGGATCGAGCCTAGCCCAGGGGCAACGCATGGCAACGATATAATTATATGGTGCGGGTATATAGATGGGATGAGTTGAGGGGTCTTCGGGGTTGGAGCAGCCGTGTGGCATAAAGGGGCTTCAAGTATTCATGTTTTCATTACGAAGGTCTCTGCTTCTCTCTCTCTCTCTTTTCTGTCTCTATATCGCCGCGCGTTGGTAAAGAGATTTTGCCATTTCTTCCTCCTCCCCCTCCTTCTCTCGCACCAAGTGTGCCAAGCAATTACTCTCTCTCTTTCACTCTCTTCTCTTTAAAAAATAATCCCCCTTTGAAAACACCACTCAACTCGCGCGCTTCTTATGGTACCCTTCTTTTTTTTTATATGTAATTATTAAATTACACTTGCAGACTAGTTTGCTTATTATGAAAATACACCTGCCGGCAAAGGAATTATAAAATTGTTGTATAAAGAGAAAATTTTTCATACGGATGCATATCCATTTCCTTAATTTAAAAAAAATTTTCGATCAATTAGGAAAATGAGATTTGAATATGTATATTGGTTTGATATAATAAAATGTTTACAGTAAAATGAATATTATATATAGTCAATTGTACAGTTTTAGTGCAACAATTTTGATAAGATTAATTTCCACCCTCGATTGAATTGAGAAAGGAGAAATGATGAGATTGAGGAGAGATTTGATTATCAAATGAGAAAATTAGAATAATGGAATATAGATTAATTATGTCATTGGAACTACATACATAGGAAAGGAGTAATTATCGGAAAAAAATGAAGGAGAAATATACGAATTGAAGTATTAGAATTATCTTTTTAATTATCATGATGAAGAGGAGAAATTCGAATTGAATGAGAAAATTAACAATGCCATTATTAGAAATAAGAAATTCGATTTTCGAAAGAATTGTATAATTTATAGAGAATATTATCAATGGAATTATTAGCAGGAAGTAGAGGAAATAGAATTTTTGATGGGAGAATTAAATGTATATCAGAATAATAAAAAGAAAAGTAATTTCTAATGGGAGAATTATTAAAATTGTCAGGAAGAAGTGGTAGATTTCGAAATTTGAATAATATAAGATTTTATAATTAGCGCAATTCTACACGGAGAAAACAGGGTAATAAAAACAAAGTAAAAAATGATAGGGAGTTTGGTATAATTCTTTGACAGCATGGGAAAAATACTCGAATTCTATGCAAAAAGGAAATTTTGTATATAAAAAGAGTAAAAAATTATATATGGAAATTAAAAATAACTATGCTTACATAGTAGAAACTCTAACTTTGAAAATTTACTTGACGTTGATATCACAATTTGCGTTACACTTTGAGAAATTTAAAATGCTTGATGTGATTTTGTGCTTCTTAAATTTAACAATTTTAATTATACATACTTTCGTATAAAATGCGGTTTACAAACAATAAAATATTATAGAAAATAAAGTAAACAGTCCGAAATAAAGAGGAAAAAGTCAAACCCATAATGCTACAAAATGCATGTAGTTTAAACAATTATTTCCAGAGTAAGTAAATGAAGATTTGCAGTGCATTGCTTGAGAAAGTGCTTTGCAGCATGGGAATATTTGCTCGTCAGGTAGGCGCTTATCCCCCATGTTTTTGAAGTAAGTTTCCCTAGATAGATCTATCGAAAAATGTCTTTATATTAAGTACTTTGTGTGAAATAAAACATAGTAAAAATAATTTTTCTCTTAACAATTTTCACGATTATGAAAAAGATTAAATGTACTTCCGAAAGTATATTTCACATGTTGTATAAAGCAGTAAATATTTTAACCTATCTGGGTATTTTTACAAAAAGAATATAAATATATACTTCTTTTGAACTTATTTTTACCCAAAAATTTCTTGAAAAATCATTATGAAATAGGGAAAATTTGATATGTTTAAATAAAAACGTTTTGTGCATCCTGTAACGACGCAGCGTCCATGACGCGTCACTAGTTGTGATCGACATCTCAAGACGACAGCATCCATGTAGTTTTTGTGAAGTGAGAAATATTTATTATAATCTTCCTTCCGGTGAATTAATTTCAAGGTAAGAGAATATTATTTCATTATAATGCCAAACAATTTTATTTTAATATTTTCGAAAAATCTCGATAGCGTCGCTTTGCTTAATTCTCCCTGTCCCAATAGAAGCGTCTTAACCATTGATGCAGGGTCGGCTTCAGGCAAAATAGTAAAATTCAAAGCCTTAAAGCTTGCCCTGTTGACCGTTTCTCTTTTCCGTCCTTGTCTAACTCAAATGCTTCTATAAAGCAACGTAAACTTTAGAGAAGGACAAAATTAATTTATAATAATTTTAATATTTATGCAAGGTATTTCCTTGTACATAATTAAGTGATTTGAAGATTTTAGTAAACCTTCCTACCGAGGGGGAATTTACTAGTTAAAAACGTGTACACTTGACTATCGGTATTACACCTCATATTACCCTTATTACTAAGTATTACACGTTATTACAGAGTATTACACATTATTACGGAGATATTACAGAGTTTTTTGCGTTATTACAGCACCGTAATAACGCATTATTACACGGTATTACACGTTATTTCACAAGTATTACAGAAAAAGTGTACACTTGACTGCCTGAGTAAATTCCGCCTTGCTTCCTACTCTATAACCAACTCACCAACCAACTCCAACTCTACAACCAACCAAAAGCAACTTTAGTTACGTGCTGCTTATTTAATCCATCCATTTAAATATTTATTAATAATTTAATTGAAATTTCAAATTTACAGCTGATTGAATACTTGAAAAATAACGCCATTACTATTTCAAAAAATATAGATGTCTTGGTTTAAATGCTGATCCAGATTTGGTAAATGTGTTTTTTATATCTTATTAACACATTTTTGGTAACATAGGTTTTATTAATAGATACTAATACTTAATTTCTTTATAAACAGATAAACATTGAATTCAACTATGCGTATTTTTCCAAATAAGGGAAATAATTTGTTCCACATTTGGAAAGATATTCGCCAGGATATTGCACTTTTGCTAAGAAGCAAATTGAAAAGTAATGAAGACAAAGAGTCAATTTACAATATTGAAGAATTGTCAGAAGGTACATTTTCTAAAATACAAAATAAATAAATTAATTCCCTATGCTTATAATATTGTTTTTTTAACAGAATTTTGTTTCATTTTACAGAGCAACAAGATGCAGTGGTTCTTTACTTACTGCCGAAGCTTATAAGACCATCATTTTCGAAATACGGAGAATATCCAAGGGCCAAAAAATCAGACAAGTACAGCGATTCATCTGAAAATACTTCAAAATCTACGTGCAATGATATACAAGAATCGTTTATTTATGTTTTCGAAATATTTTTGAAATATATAGAGAATTTATAAAAATTGTATGTCTTATTTATTTTAAACTTCATTTATTAGAACTATTTAATATTATTAAAATTGTCGTTTCAGATTATTTATGAATAATATAATCCATAATTATTAATTATCAGAGTTTTTGATATTTTGAGAATTAGAAGTGAACAAATATTAATTAAAATTAATATTTTTATAATATTAATTCCTAAAAAATGATTATTATAATATGTAAAATTAAATTTTTAATAAAAAATTAATACAAATATTATAATTTTCTCATTAAAAAATAACTAAACTCTCTGCATAAAGTCATTTTCAAAAAGTATTAATACATATGAAAAAATAGTTTTATATCCTTCTAAACAGAGCAAAAATTCCCATGCTCATAGTATAAGATGATTTCTTGATGGCACTGACAGGTAGTGTTGGATAGCTACCGCTACTTTCTAACATCACAAAAATTCCCATGCTCACGGTATAAGATGCTCTACTCGACGGTACTAACAGCTATTATTGTGTAGACGCCGCTACTTTCTAACATCACGAAAATTCCCATGCTCACGGTATAAGATGCTCTACTTGACGGCATTAAAAACTAGTAAAGGATAGCTTATAGTTCTCACTACCAAAATTAAAATTCCCATTCCGCACTGGTTTTCATGATATGTAGGATAAGATATTTTGTTTTGCAGTCTACAAAGTTATACTATGTTTTAATATATTTACAACTATAAGCACTTCTGAAAATTTGTAAACCAATATATAGGATAATATAGTATTTTAAAAATTATATTTTGCTAAAAATGACGAGTTGTCACCACCTTGCCATTAATAATATAAATTTTTCCCATGATTTCAAGCAAAAGTTCCAAGAAATTTTTCTCCGTGTAAATTGTATTTCCTTTGCTTTTTCGTTAATAATTATAATGATTTAGTTATAATTCCCAAAATTCGAATTTCTCCACCTTTTTAATAATTCTTTACTCCCATTCGTATTTCACATTTCTGTGCGTTGCTTTCTTGTAATTTCATTAATAATTCTAATTTCCTTAATCATAATTGGAATTCTTCAGCTATTTCACAATAATTCCAATAATAATTCTAATTCTCCCTTTCGAAATTCCAAATCCTGTATTTCTTTCCGGCAATTTCTATATGCCAATTTCAATAATAATTAATTCAAAATTATAATAGTATATGTAAATTATCATATTGATAATTATTTTAAAATTCAGAAATCAAAATTTGTTTGAATAACATAAATTTTTTATGAAATTTGTTTCCAAGCTAATTTTCATGAGCTTGCAAAGGATATATAATATTATAAGGAATTAAAGCAAGAGAATGAAAAAACTTTCCTACAAGGGCGCGTGTTTTGAAACGATAAACAGGGCGAAGAAGGCCATTTAGCCTCTGTGAGAAGAATTTTTCTCCCCCTTTTTTTTTTTTCTTTTCCTTCAACCAACATTTCTCATTTCCACAAGGAGCTTAAATCGTTAATCAGCTGGGGCTTCTGATTGTGCGATTTTAAATAGGGCGCTTTTAACGAAGCGAGCGACGATTAATTTTGCGCCATGCCGACGACTTTTAAAATATACTATGTATATATGTAGAGAGAGAGGGAGATAGAGAAAGAGGAGAGGGAGAGTTACGATGAAAAAGGATAAGATAAAACTAAAGAAAGTAAATGCGGAGAATATATAAGAAAGGAACGCTAGCAAAATTCTTCTCTAAAAGAAGAGGAAACAATGCGCCTGAGAAGTTCGGACAACATGCGAGAGAAGGGAAGAGATCGGGCAGACAAAGAGTGCGAAGGCAATAGAACAAAGGGAAGATAACGGACCTTACAAAAACATTGAAAAAGGGAGCGAACAAACTTCTTTTCGCCCTTACCGCGCCGTTGAAACGACCAACTATTGTCGCAAAGAACATTCATCTTCATATTATAAATTTTTTCTTCCTTTTAAAAGAAATTCAAATTTTTTTTGAAAATTAATATTATTATTTTTGGTTTATGATGTTTCCAACTTGCATTTATTTATTTATCAGTGATTACAAATGCTGAATAATTTTTAATTATTAATTATGAATTAAGAAATTAAATAATTAATTCAAAATTATAATGGATTATTAGATCAAGATTCACTAAATTAATTCCCTTTCGTATTATTTATATTCCCGGTACCTTATCATCAATGATAATTCCAATAATAATTGTACTTTTCCCAAACGAAATTAAAATTCCTCCTGATAATTCCAATAATAATAGTAATTCTCCCATTTGGAGTTCGAATTCCTCGGCTTCTTCCTGATACTCCAAATGTTAATTACAATTCACAAATTACACAATCTAATTTATTTGTTTTTTAAAATAATTATAATAATATAATTCTTATTTTCCCATTTATAATTTAAATTCCTTTAGAATTTCCTTAATAATTACAATTATATAATTCTAGTTCTCCCATTCGAAATTTAAATTCCTTCATCTTCCTAATAAGAAACTTCCTTTCAAAATTTACTAATTAAATATAATTTCCTCTTCCTGATAATTCCAATAATAATTGTAATTTTCCAAACATGATACAAAATTTACAAAGCTAAAAGTTATATACAAAAAAATTCGTATATATATATATATATATAATATATAGCCAAACCGCGCGATTATGAGGATTCCACCCCAAAAGGAAAGGCTGCAGCAGTATAGCTGTTAGGTTAGAACCTCCTTCGTAAGGGTTCTAATCTCCCTCGTACTAGAGGGACAACCCCCTGGAATCACGTGGGGTGTTTCCTGCAACTGACCAATGAACTATATGGTTATCCTTCTCTTGCATGTCCATTATACGATCGATAGTTCCTCTATGCCTATTACCCATACACATTCACATATATCGTATATAGCAGCAGCAGCAGCAGCAAAAAAGAAGAAAAAAAACGTTTAACCATCGGTCATGGGAAGAGTGTATTTCTACTTTTTTTTCTAATCATTATAATGCGCATGCGTCAACTCCAAAGAGTCACTCTCATGTGACCACGTGTTTCGATCATTATATACTCCCACTTATGTTCTCTCCATGACCGATTGCTGCTAAACCCTCTCTCTTTCTTTCTATCTCTTATATATTTTATATTTATCCCTTTCCACATTTATATCCTATGTCATAAATCATATATACATCTAGTTTTCATTCTTTTTTCCCTGGATGTTATATCTCTGGCCATCTGAACCTATTTTCATCTTTTAATAGGATTTTTTTTCATTCGTTTTCGTGTGGTCATTTATATATATGTTTTCTCATCCTTCTGTTTGTTGCACGAAAATGCATCAACAGTAACGGGGTGAAAATGAGGGTTATAGTTAATATATATTTGAAGTAGCCTTTTGAAAAAGTCCTTGGAAGTATGTATATCCATTTAGGAAATTATAATTTCCTTCAAATATCTACGGTTGCCATGAAGGTCGAATTAGTTTATTTATATCTTTTCAGAAATTCCTTCATATAGGTTATATAATAGTGGCAGCGGTGGGATAATGTGAATAGCAAAAAAAAAAGTAATTGTTAAAGGAATTATTATAAAATATCTTATTTATTCTAAAAATTCCACAAATTATAATTATTAAATAAACCTTCAGTAAATTAATTATATCCCCGGCACCATTTTATCAACAGTGATATAATTCCAATACAATCCAATTTTGAATAAGGGAATTAGAATTATATATAATTGGAATTAAATTTATTAGGAAGAAGAAGAAATTTTTAGTTGGAAAGGGATAATTAAAATTATTATCATTGTAATTATTAAGGAAAAAGCAAAGGAATTCAAATATTTAAAGACAAAATTAGAATTATTATTGGAATTATCAGGGGGTAACGGAGGAATTCGAAATTCGCGTTTTTGTAATTATCGGAAATGATTAAAAGAATTCAAATTACGATTAGGGAGATTTAGAATGGTTATTGAAATTATCAGGAAGTATAATTGTAATCACTGGAAAGAAAAAAAAATTCGAATTTGGAATAAGAGAATCAGAATTATCAGAAATATACAAAGAATTCTAATTTGGAATGGGAGAATTAGAATTATCAAAAATATACAAGGAATTCTAATTTGGAATGGGAGAATTATAATTATCAGGAAAAAGCAAAGTAATTAAAAATTTGAATTGGGAGAATTAAAATTATATCATTGAAACTATCAGAATGATGGAGAAATTTAAATTTCAAATTTGAGAATTATAATTATATCTTTGTAATTATTAGGAAAAAAGAAATGAATGCAAATTTTGAATGTTTTTATTATATGTAATTATACGTTGGAATTATCAGGAAGAGGAAGAGGAATTCGAATGATCGAATGGGAGAATTAGAATTATCATTTGGAATTATTTATGTAGGAAGAGAAATTTAAATTTCAAATAGGAGAATTAGAACAGTAATTTTAATTAACAGGATGAAGGAAAAATGCGAATTTGAAAGAGGAATAGTTGAATTATATATATATATATATATATATATGATTGGGATAATCAGGGAAATGCGAAAGGAATTCAAATTTCGAATTAGAATTATATTTAAAATTTGAATAGGAGAATTATAATTATCCCATTCGAAATTTTGAATTTCTCCTTCTATAGAATTATTATCATTGTAATTATTAAGAAGAAAGAAAAGGAATTCAAATTTTGAAAGGTAAAATTAGAATATTAGAATTATCAAGAAGAAACGGTCAGGAATTCTAATTCGTACGGGAGATTGTAGAATTATTAGGAAGAAAAGGAATTTAATTTTGTAATTAAAATTAACATAGGAAAATTATCAAGAAGAAAAACAGAATTTTCAATTTTGAAAAGGAGAATTATAATTATCATTGGAAGTATTCGAAATTGTAATTATTAATGAAAAAACAAAGAAGTTGAATTATGAGGAAGAATTTGAAGATTTTAAATTTTGAAAAAGAATATAAAAATTATTTTCTTGAAATTATAAGTAAGAAGTAGTAATAATTGTAATTTCGAATGGAAGAATCAGAATTTTTCGTTTATCTGCAAACATATATAGAGAAAAGAAACTTTTATATCACACATATATATATACAAGATGATCTAAGTTGTATCATAAAAATTTAAGACATAATAATGTGCGTCCCTCATAATTTTATCTGAGCTTTT